CTCTACTGAAAATACAAAAAATTGGCTGGGCATGGTGGCGCGTGCCTATAATCCCAGCTACTCAGGAGGCTGAGGCAGGAGAATTGCCTGAACCCAGGAGGCAGAGGTTGCGGTGAGCCGAGATCACGCCATTGCACTTCAGCCTGGGTAACAAGAGCGAAACTCCGTCTCAAAAAAAAAAAAAAAATAGGCAGGTTCCAGGTTCTAGTTGCAAACTGCTAATTACACATGTAGACAATGTAATTATCTGAAGGAAAGACAGTTTATCCCTTCCACCTTCCACCTTCTCCACCAAAAATTTAATTACAGTTTCTGGGTGAGCTTTAACTTGTTAGGATAATCTTAGATGAAGTTCTTGAGGTTTTATTCTAAACACTTAAAATGTATAGAATCGAAACATGTTAAAATTCTAGTCCTCATTATAATTTAGTTTTAGTTTTGCAGTTGCCATTTGTTTTTATGTACTTGAAGGGAAAGGTAACGATATTAATTACTAGACTTTGATTTTGGTTGATCAGTGGATTCTATGCAGCTGGGCACGGTGGCTCATACCAGTAATCCTAGCACTTTGGGAGGCCAAGGTGGGCAGATCACTTGAGCTCAGCAGTTCAAAACCAGCCTGGGTATCATGGCAAAACCTGTCTCTACCAAAAATACAAAAATTAGCCAGGCATGGTGGCACACTTCTGTGGTCCCAGCTACTTGGGGGGCTGAAGTGGGAGGATTGCTTGAACCTAGGAAGTTGCAGTGAGCTGTGACTGGTCTACTGCATTCCAGCCTGGGTAATAGAGTGATATTCCTATCTGGAAAAAAAAAAAAAAAAAAAAAAAAGTGGTTTGTGAGGGCAGAGGTTGAAGAGTTGTTGCCCTAATTTGTAGTAATATTAAATAGTTTCCCCCAAATTAACATTGTTTTTAAAATTGAGTACAAGTTTCAAAGTATTAACATCAAGAAAAAATATAGGCCTTGGTGAAGTGGTTCAGGCCTGTAATCCCAGCACTTTGGGAGGCCACAGCGGGAGGATTGCTTGAGCTCAGGAGTTTAAGGCCAAAAAAAATTAAAGATTTCTTTGTTTAGAGATAGGGTCTTGTTCTGTTGCCCATGCTAGAATGCAGTGGGGCAATCTCAGCTCATTGCAACCTCCACCTCCCGGGTCAGGCTATTCTCCTGCCTCAGCCTCCCGAGAAGCTGGGAATACAGGGGTGTGCCACCATGCCTGGCTAATTTTTGTGTTTTTAGTTGAGACTGGGTTTCACCATATTAGACAGGCTAGTCTTGAACTCCTGACCTAAAGTGATCTGCCTGTTTCAGTCTCCCAAAGTGCTGGGATTACAGGCATGAGCCACTGCACCCAGCTGTTTTGTATTATTTAACACTATTTTACTTATTCTTTTCAAAGGGTCTGCTAGATGTTCTGAATTTGGGGACACTGTTTCAATACTTTTTTTTACCCTTGAGACAGAGTTTCATTCTTGTTGCCCAGGCTGGAGTGCAATGGCACCATCTCAGCTCACTGAAACCTCCACCTCCTGGGTTCAAGTGATTCTCCTTCCTCAGCCTCCCAAGTAACTGGGATTACAGGCATGTGCCACCATGCCATGATAATTTTTATTTTTAGTAGAGATGGAATTTCACCATGTTGGTCAGACTGGTCTGGAATTCTCTACCTCAGGTGACCTGTCCACCTTGGCCTCCCAAGGTGCTGGGATTACAGGCATGAGCCACCAGGCCCAGCCTTCAATACTAATTTTAACCTTTCTTTCAACTTCTTTTATCCAGCTCTGAAATAAAAGCAAGCAGACCTACATATTCTCTGGTGAATAGGTTTTGGAATCTATTTTATCATTTTGTAGGATATGAAAGAACAAAAGAAGGGCCCAAGTTATGTAATTCTTTTTTTTTTTTTTTTTTTGAGATGGAGTTTCGCTCTTGTTACCCAGGCTGGGGTGCAATGGTGCAGTCTCGGCTCACCGCATCCTCCTCCTCCTGGGTTCAGGCAATTCTCCTGCCTCAGCCTCCTGAGTAGCTGGGATTACGGGCACGCGCCACCATGCCCAGCTAAGTTTTTGTATTTTTAGTAGAGACGGGGTTTCACCATGTTGACGAGGTTGGTCTTGATCTCTTGACCTTGTGATCCACCCGTCTCGGCCTCCCAAAGTGCTGGTATTACAGGCTTGAGCCACCGCGCCCGGCCCATAATTCTTATATCTTCTGTGTGAATGTTTTTAACCTTTGAGAATCTGGAACTCAAAATGTTCTTTATATGAAGTGTACGAAGATTTTGAAACCTATCCAATAGTCCCATAGACAGTTTTTTGTTTTTGTTTTTAAATAAACAGAAATTGACCCTTCTGGTTTTAAAGCTTAAAATTTAGGGAACCCCTCCCCCAAGACCTCTCAGAAAGTATCAAAGAACTGAAAGTCACCAGATTATTGCATACGAATTTTGATGTGCCACTACTCAGTCCATAGCCAACATTGAACCCACATAATATCCTTTTAGATATATGTTTATGTGTGTGTGTATTATGTGCAATTTTTTTTTGAGAGACAGAGTCTGGCTCTGTTGCCCAGGGTAGAGCTCAGTGGCACAATTATAGCTCACTGTAGCCACAAACTCCTCAAGCATTCCTCCTGCTTCAGCCTCCCCAGTAGCTGGGGACTATGGGTGTGTACCACCACGTCTGGCTAATTTTCATTTTTTTAAAAAATTTTCATTTTTTTATAAAGCCAGGGTCTTGTTATGTTGTCCAGGCTGGTCTTGAACTCCTGGGTTCAAGGGATCCTCTTGCTTTGTCCTCCCAAAGTTCTGAGATTACAGGCATGAACAAACTGCACCAGGCCACTATGTATAATTTTAAAAGAGAATCGTACTGTTTTGTTTAGTAACTTCCATTTTTACTTAAAATATGACTATCTTTGCATATGAATAGATGCCTTTTAGCAAGTCATTTGTACTTTTTTTTTTTTTTTTGGAGACGGAAGCTTTGCTCCTGTTGCCCAGGCTGGAGTGCAATGGCACCATCTTAGCTCACCACAACCTCCACCTCCCGGGTTCAAGCAATTCTCCTACCTCAGCCTGCCTCTTGAGTAGCTGGAATTACAGGCATGTGCCACAATGCCCAGCTAATTTTGTATTTTTAGTAGAGACAGGTTTTCTCCGTGTTGGTCAGCTTGGTCTCAAACTCCTGGCCTCAGGTGATCCACCTGCCTGCCTCAGCCTCCCAAAGTGCTGGGATTATAGGTGTGAGCCACCGAGTGTCATTTGTACTTTTTTAGTGGAAGTACATTATTGCATTACTGCATTGGATGTTTAATACTACTAACCAATTCGCTCTCTACTACTAACCAATTCTCTCTCCTCTCTTCTCTGTTCTCTCTCCCCTCTCCTCCCCCTCCCCTCTCCTCCCTCTCTCCCCTCTCCTCCCCCTCTCCCCTCTCCTCCCCCTCCCCTCTCCTCCCTCTCTCCCCTCTCCTCCCCCCTCCCCTCTCCTCCCCCTATCCCCTCCTCTTCTCTCTTCTCTTCTCTCTCCTCTTTCTCCCGTCTCCCCTCTCCTCTCTCTCCTCTTCTCTCTTCCCCTCTTCCCTTCTCTCTCCCCTCTCCTCTCTCCTCTCTCTCCTTTTTTCCCCTCTCCCCCCTCCCCCTCCCCCCTCCCCTCTCCCCCCTCCCCCTCCCCCCTCCCCTCTCCTCCTTCCCCTCTCCCCTCTCCCCTCTCCCCTCTCCCCTCTTCTCTCTCTCTTTCCCCCTCCTTTTTGGTTTTGTTTTCAGAGGGAGTTTCGCTCTTGTTACCCAGGCTGGAGTGCAGTGGCGCCATCTCGGCTCATTGCAGCCTCTGCCTCCCGCGTTCAAGCGACTCTCGTGCCTCAGCCTCTCTACTAGCTGGGACTACAGATGTGTGCTACCACGCCTGGCTAATTTTTGTATTTTTAGTAGAGACGGGGTTTCATCATGTTGGTCAGGCTGGTCTCAAACTTCTGACCTCAAGTAGTCCTCCCACCGCAGCCTCCCAAAGTGCTGGGTCATGAGCCACTAGTACCAGCCACCAATTCTCTTTTGTTAATATTTGAGGTTTTATTTGTTTGTTTGTTTGCTATTAAAGCTTTGAACATACATCTCTATGCTCTAATCTGATTATTTCTTCAGGATATAGTCCTAGAAGTGGAACTGCTGGATCACAAAGGGTACAAAAGTTTTTGAATAGCCAACAGCCTTCCAGAAAGGCTGTATGAATTCTAAACAGCAGCATATTTGTGTGTCCCTATTTCTTCATTCCCCTAGCAACTCTATGAATTATTATTATTGTTTGTAATTTTTAGCTAATTTGGTAGGTGGGGGAAAAAAGACACCCTGCTGATATAAAATGAACAATTTGTGATATTTAAAAGACACCCTGCTGACAAAAAATGAACCGAGCTTTCAGCTGCCTCTGGCTCCCTGGAGGATCCGGGGTAAAGAAACATAAAATCAGTGGAGTTTGGCTCTGGGTATTCTCAGTGAGATGGAGAGGTAAATTACAGCTGAGATGGTGCCATTGCACTCCAGCCTGGGCAACAAGAGCAAAGCTTCCGTCTCCAAAAAAAGAAGTACAAATGACTTGCTAAAAGGCATCTATTCACATGCAAAGATAGTCATATTTTAAGTAAAAATGGAAGTTACCAAACAAATTACAGCAAGCTGCTTATTCTCACCCGTCCGGAAAAGGATGGGAAAGGCCATCGGTAGGGGAAAGGAATTAAGAACATTCTTTTATGAGAAAGGCAGTTGTTACGGCGAGGTTTTAAGGTTTTAAACTTTAGGCGGGCATGTCATTCCAGATCAGCTGAAACTGCTTTCGGTCCTGACCACTCTGCACGGTTAAGCCCCAAGTAGCCAAAGGGCGGCCAGGAGCGGCCGGGTAGGAGGACCCCGGCAGCCGCCACGCCGTCCCACAATGCCCCGCTCGCACCACCCTGAGGGCGGAGAGAAAGGACCGCTGCCGGGGATGGGGCTTCGGCGGCGAGCGCCGAGAAGTGCGCAGGCGCACTGACCCCGCGGGCCCTAGCAACCAGAGCAGTGACAGTAGCAACCGCCGTTATGGTGAGTACCTTTCGGGCCGCGTAGCCAAAGCTGAGAGAAGATTGGGAGTGGAAAAGGGTGACTGTGGAGTGTTGGGGGTCTGGGGGTCCTTAAACAGCGCAAGGGAGCCGGTAGCTGACGCTAGCTCTGTGGAGTCAGGGGCCCGAGGAGAAAGAGAAGCCCTGGCCGGGGGTGGTCTGGGCTGAGGGCGGCCTGGGGTGGATCGGAGGTAGGGTTAAGGTGGGGGGACTCTGACAAGAAAAAAGGGAGGGCGAAGAGCAAGACATTCTCCAAAATGAGCGCATTGGAATGGGAAGGGTGATGGGAAGGAGAGTGTAGATAAAGATATCTCTTTACATAAAAGTAATTTTAGTGACCCCCCCCCCCCGCCCCACGTCGAGATGCAGGGAGGGGCTGGTTACCAGAAGGGTCTGTAAAACACGGATTGCAGCAGTATTCATAACCTGGGATGTAGTCAGGTTGCCTTCTGAATGACTACGAGTGCAATGATTCGGTAACACTGTAAAACACACTCTGATGGATATATTAGAGCAGTGATTCTCAAATTTCAGTATGCATGGGTATGGGCTTGTTGGAATGCAGATCATGAATTCAGGAATGCGCATTTCGACAACAAACCTCTATTGACTATAAAATTGGGAGGAATCCCACCACACTGAGAAATGCTGTTGCCTTAGGTTTGAAATCTACCAGCTGTCTATCCAATCACAGCTCTTTATGAAGTAATGGTTTTACCTAGAGATGCCTCTCAATTCTTACTTGAAGTATGCACTCTGTTGCTTACATACTTGGTAGTTCTATCTAGTTGTCTGAAAAAGACTACAAACCCAGCCAGAGCTACTGAGCAAAGTCTGTGATGTCCTACGGGATAGAGATGTTTATGAAAAAGCAGCATAATTACTTGTTTTCTTTTTGTGATGCCAGTGCTATATAACTGGGCAGAAGTTGAGCCCAGGAGATGGAATGATGAGGAGGTCATGCCTGCCTTCAACATGATTAAATACCACTCTTTACAAAGTAGTTTCTGCTTTCCTTACTTTGTTCCACAGGCAGTTAGCTGAAAACCACTGCCAAGGAAAGCTAAAAGTTCTGGACCTAGGTTTACATTGAGGTGCAGAAACGCTCAGACCTAAATATTTATGAAAGTATTATGGCAATTGTTGAAAATCTTCAAATAGAGTATCAGGATCAGTGCAGTTATAAATTACCTAATGATGACAGGGATACAGTCTAAGAAACACATCATTAGGTAATTTTGCCTTGCAAACATCATAGAATATGCTTACAAAAACCAGATGGTGTAGACTATTGCTCCTAGGCTACAAACTTGTACAATATTTTACTGTGCTGAATATTATAGGCAGTTGAAACAATGTGTTTGTGTATTTAAACATAAAAAAGCAGCCAGGGTGCTGTGGCTCATGCCTGTAATCCCAGACATCTGTAATCCCAGCACTTTGGGAGGCCAAGGCAGGCAGATCACCTGAGGTCAGGAGTTCAAGACTTGCCTGGCCAACATGGTGAAACTCCTCCTCTACTAAAAATACAAAGTAGCTGGATGTAGTGGCATGCCTGTAATTCCAGCTACTGGGGAAGCTGAAGCATGAGAATCACTGGAACCCAGGAGGTGGAGATTGCAGTGAGCCAAGATTACACCACTGTACTCCAGCCTGGATAACAGAGCAAGACTCTGCTCTGTCTCAAATAAATAAACATAGAAAAATTACAGTAAAAATACAGTATTACAATTTTACGTGACTACTGTCTTATATCTAATCTGTTGTTAACCAAAATTTGCTATACAGCACATGACTGTATTTAGAACTAGCTAAGACTGGAAACTGGCAGACCTGGGTCCCTCCAGAAATATGGGCCCACATAGTATTTAAATTAAAAAAAAATTATCTTCCAGTGTCTTTTTTATTTTTTCCTTATGACCTTCAGGACAATGTCTTCAAATGATGATATTTCACATTAAAACAAAGATTGCCAGTTTTTCTTGAAAAATAAATATGTTTCACCATTGGGCACATTTTTTTCACATTTTCATATTACTGAGATATAGTATAACTGACAGCATCTTTTCTTTCTTAATGTTACATAAAATAAAGGTGCTACTTACAATTAATGGAGGTTTTTAATTTGAAGAAATATGGTATTAGGGTAGCTCTTTTCCCCAAGTCCCACCTGCTTTCAGTTGTCTGGAGCTGAGTAGAGGTTATCTTCTTGACACTGGTTCTGCCCTTACTTGGCCAGCTTTACCCATTAGTGATGTCCATAAGGACCTTTAGGCATTTGAGTTTTTGAACTCCTATCTATAGGGAAACCAGTTACCTTTATACCAATTTATATTGCCCCCAAAAACAGCTAGATGGGTTCAACTCTTTTTCTACAAATAGTGTTGCGAAAATACCCTTTTATGGACCCATGCAAAAGATTTCTCTTGGAAATACAGCCAGGAGTGGGATTATACCATCATAGGGTCTATGTATACTTAATTTCCCTAGGCCCTTTTCAGGCTGCTTTCCAGAATAGCTTACCAGTATTTACTTCCTCCATCAGTGCAGGAGAGCTCCCATTTCTTCTTGTTTGTTCGTTTTGTTTTCTTTTGAGACAGAGTCTTGCTCTGTCGCCCAGGCTGGAGTGCAGTGTGCAGTCTGGGCTCACTGCAGCCTCTGCCTCCAGAGCTCAAGCGATTCTTCTGCTTCAACCTCCCAAGTTGCTGGGATTACAGGCGTGTGCCACCACACCCAGTTAAGTTTTGTATTTTCAGTAGAGACAGGGTTTCATCATGTTGGCCAGGCTGGTCTCAAACTCCTGACCTCAAGTGATCTGCCTATCTCAGTCTCCCAAAATACTGAGATTGCAGGCATCAGCCACCACTCCCAGTAAAGGGTTCCCATTTCTTTACGTGCTCACCAACTTTTTGCCAATCTGAGGATGTATTTTAGTGTTCCATTGTTTTACTTTGCATTTTTCTGATTCACAATGTTAAATTTGTTGTCGTTTGTTTGGTTTTGGGTTTTTTTGGGACGATATCTCACTCTGTCGCCTGAGCTGGAGTGCAGTGGCGCAATCAGGGTTCCTTCACCTGCCGGGATCCTCCCACCTTAGCCCCTGCAAGTAGCTGGGACTGCAGGCCTGTGCCATCGAGCCTGGCTAATTTTTTGTATTTTTAATAGAGAGAAGGTTTCACCATGTTGCCCACGCTGGTCTTGAATTCCTGAACTCAGGTGATGTGGCCGCTTCAGCCTCCCAAAATGCTGGGACTACAAGCTTGAGCCACCATGCCCAGCCTTCTAGTTAAATTCTGTTTGTTTGTTTGTTTGTTTGAGATGGAGTCTTACTCTGTTGCCCAGGCTGGAGTGCAGTGGCATGATCTCGGCTCACTGCAACCTCCACCTGCCAGGTTCAAGTGATTCTCCTGCCTCAGCCTCCCAAGTAGCTGGGACTATAGGGGCATGCCACTATGCCGAGCTAATTTTTTGTATTTTTAGTAGAAACAGGGTTTCACCGTGTTAGCAGGGATGGTCTCAATCTCCTGATCTTGTGATCCACCCACCTCGGCCTCCCAAAGTGCTGGGATCACAGGTGTGAGCCACTACGCCCGGCCAAGCCTTCCTGATATTCTTTTTTTTTTTTTTTTGGAGATGGAGTTTCACTCTTGTTACCCAGGCTGGAGTGCAATGGCGCGATCTCGGCTCACCGCAACCTCCGCCTCCTGGGTTCAAGCAATTCTCCTGCCTCAGCCTCCTGAGTAGCTGGGATTACAGGCACGTGCCACCATGCCCAGCTAATTTTTTGTATTTTTAGTAGAGACGGGGTTTCACCATGTTGACCAGGATGGTCTCGATCTCTTGACATTGTGATCCACCCGCCTCGGCCTCCCAAAGTGCTGGGATTACAGGCTTGAGCCACCGTGCCCGGCCGCCTTCCTGATATTCTTATTACCCATCTGGGTTTCAGTTTCTGTGAATTATCTGTTCATATTTTTCCAACTTTTCCATTTTCCTTTTTGTTTTTGAATTTTAGGAGTTCCTGTGTATTCTAAATGTTGGTCCTCATTGGTTTCATACTGAAAATATCTTCTCCCAGCCGTGAGAAGAAAAATAAGTATATATTAATTATTAATAATAATAATTCATAGTGGTGATTAGAAGTGATCCTTGATGTGTTTGAGATTTTAAAGGGAATACTCGGCCGCTCATTTGTTTTCTGTCTCTTATTTTCTGACAAATGTATCTGAATCTGTAAGTTTTCTTCTTAGTGTTACATTCCCCAAATTTTGACTTTTTTCTTTTATTATTTTATGATTTTCTTTTAATCCAAGGGTTATTTATTAGTATGTCTTTACTTTCTAGACATAATGGTATATATTTGTGAACAAAAGTTCTCTCAAAAGGAAAATGCAGGGAAGAGACCTTATGTCATTGAACAGTTTATGTATGGCTAGATCCAGCCTTAGGTGTAGAAGGAAGGTGTGTGTTCCAGAGAACAAAGGAAGAGCTTGAGTTTTATAGCAAAAGCTCCTTCCCATCTTCTCAATCACGTCTGTTTATGTAAATGAAGGATTCAGACTCACTCAGTTCTGGTTGGTTGATACATCTGGGTCTTGATTGGTTGATCCAGGTGAGCCGATTGGTTGATTCAGGTGAGCTCTGATTGGTTCCGAACAATGCTGGAAGTCCCGAAGTTGAACAGAGGTGTGTTTTTGGGGGGAATTCAGAGTATGTGTGTGACCTCTAGTAAGCAAATGGCTGCTTGGCTCTAATTAACTCATTTTAATCTAATTTAATTTTTTTCAGAGACAGGCTTACCCTGTTGCCCAGGCTGGAATGTGGTGGTGCAATCATGCCTCACTGTAACCTTAAACTTTTGGGTTCAATTGATCATCCCACCTCAGCATCCTAAGTAGTTAGAACTACAGGCCTGCACCACCATGCCAGGCTAATTTTTTTATTTTGTTTCGTAGAGATGGAGTCTAGCTATGTTGCCTAGGCTGGTATTGAACTTCTGGCCTCAAGTGATCCTCCCACCTTGGCCTCCTAAAGTGCTGAGATTACAGGCGTGAGACACTGTGCCTAGCTTAGGCCCTGGTTTAAATTTAGGCCCAGTTAACTACTCAGGATTCATCTTGAAGTATTGGTTCTTTCAGGTTAACATTCATTCACATAGTTTAAAAACCTTTCTTTTGTTATTCTTTGGGGTAATTTTTTAAAAAAGAGCACCAGCAATAATTCATTACGGATATCTTCCTTTGGGCACCTTTAGAGTTTTAAATAAATTGAATTTAAGCTGCTATTAATTATAAGGTGCAACATTATTTTATGTTTTACTAAGAAAAAATTAGTTTGAACTATGACAAATACTTTATCATTTAAAATTTTTATTTTGTACTTATTAATTATGTAGACATACAGATTTTTATCCTGTCCTTTATCTTCATCCTTTGCAAACATAAAAAGGAATATATGATATGAAATAAAGTGGCTAATACTTTTCTAAAATTTCACCACTGCCACCACCCCCCAACAATTGTAAATTAGTCCTGATTATAAATTGCATCCAAATTTCAATATTAAAATGTAAGAAAGATGTAGATCCTTAGAATCAATTAAATAAGATGTATTTTAATATCAAGTATTGAAAGCTACATATTTTTGTAAGCCAACTTGGAGTGAAGTGTATGGGTGTTACATAATGATTTTCTTATTTTTTCTCAGAGACATTTAAATAAATCATTCTGATTTCAAGAAATTAAAGCATCCTCTTTGTATATAAAGTCTCAAAGAAAGAAATCAATCCTTTTAATGGTAGAAACCAAGGCTAATAGTTATTGCATGAAAAGTGAATCAACAAATTACACCAATAAAAACCACGTTGGGGCTGATGGCTCACGCCTGTAATCTCAGCACTTTGGGAAGCCAAGGCGGGCAGATCATGAGGTCAGGAGTTCTAGAACAGCCTGGCCAACATGGTGAAACCCCAGCTCTACTACAAATACAAAAAATTAGCCAGGTGTGGTGTTGCGTGCCTGCATTCCAGCTACTCAGAAGGCTGAGGCAGGAGAATCACTTGAACCTAGGAGGTGGAGGTTGAGGTGAGCAGAGATGGTGTCATTTGTACTCCAGCCTGTGCAACAAAGCAAGACTGTCTCAAAAAATAAATAAGTAAATAAAAACAACTTTGTTTTGTGTTTTTTATCTTTCTTTCTTTCTTTCTTTCTTTTTTTTTAAAGGCTAAAGCAACAACAATCAAAGAAGCCTTAGCGAGATGGGTGAGTACATGAGCTTTTCCTTCTTTTAGAAACTGTACAAGGAAAAATTTTGGATAGTTATTCAAATCCAGCTATTTAATACAAAGGATCTTTTTGGTATTGGAGCTCTTCAGCTATCTTGACTATGGTGGTGGATGCATGAACCTACACAGATGAAAAAATTGTATAAAACTTAGTACACACATACTAACACACAGCCATACATGCACATGAGTACAAGCAAATTTGGGAAAATCTGAGTAAAATCAGGGGATTGTATCAATAGCAATATCCTAGTTATATTATACTATAGTCATAAAATGTTATCCTTGGGAGAACTGGACAAACTTCAAATATCATAATAAATTTTTCAATTGAAAAAATCTGACCACTGGAAAATTTAAATATGGAAAGCATGATTTTATCTATTGCTATAAAATTGCTGGAATTTCTGTGTTAGTACATTTTCTTTTTCAACTTTATAATCGCTAAACTACATGTCATTTTCATATGCTAGAGTCATATGAATTGTGGATTATCTAGGCTTTAGAGGGTGACTTTAGCCTCCTGAAGGTTAGTACAGAGGTAATCAATGTGGACAAATGTAAATCATGCATATACAATTGAAAAAAAACGACCGGGCGCGGTGGCTCAAGCCTGTAATCCCAGCACTTTGGGAGGCCGAGGCGGGTGGATCACGAGGTCGAGAGATCGAGACCATCCTGGTCAACAAGGTGAAACCCCGTCTCTACTAAAAATACAAAAATTTAGCTGGGCATGGTGGTTTGTGCCTGTAATCCCAGCTACTCAGGAGGCTGAGGCAGGAGAATTGCTTGAACCCAGGAGGCGGAGGTTGCGGTGAGCCGAGATCGTGCCATTGCACTCCAGCCCGGGTAACAAGAGCGAAACTCCGTCTCCGAAAAAAAAAAACAATTGAAAAAAAACACTAAATAAAAATACTAAAGCATATAGCAATACTAGAAAGGAAACTACATTGTAAAAAATGTGCATTATATGTAAATTATATTTTCAGTATTCTATAACATGCTAATAAAGTTTGAACAGTTATAATTCAGCATATAGACAGAATTGCCATAGAGTACAGAGATGACTCCTGAATTTCTGTGACCATAAACTTATTTGTCTATGTTATCAGTAGTTTTTTTGCATCGCTTCTTGGCCTTTTGGCTAAAATCAAGTGTAGTTTTTTTGGTATAATAATGTACCTTTTGCTTTATAACTAGGCTTTGAATAAAAAGGCTTTCAGAAGCATTGGTGTCTAGGGAAAATAGACAAAGTTCGGTAAAATAATGAAATGCTTGAATTCTTGTTTTAGTACTTATAAATTTCTCATTTACTTTAAATGTATTTTTATAATTTATTTCTGTTTGGTTAAATATATAATGAAAAATCTTGCCGGGCGCGGTGGCTCAAGCCTGTAATCCCAGCACTTTGGGAGGCCGAGACGGGTGGATCACAAGGTCAAGAGATCGAGACCATCCTGGTCAACATGGTGAAACCCCGTCTCTACTAAAAATATAAAAAATTAGCTGGGCATGGTGGTGCGTGCCTGTAATCCCAGCTACTCAGGGGGCTGAGGCAGGAGAATTGCCTGAACCCAGGAGGCGGAGGTTGTGGTGAGCCGAGATCGCGCCATTGCACTCCAGCCTGGGTAACGAGAGCAAAACTCAGTCTCAGAAAAAAAAAAAAAAGAAAAATCTTAAGAACAAAGGAGGATGGAGTAGACTTAGTACACGATTTAATTTTCCTTGAATTGGATGTTGAGACTTTATTTTACTTATAGTAACTAGTGTTTTTTTGTTTTGGCTGGTAGAGTCTGTTTCTAGATTACATTATGGCCATACATTTTTTACTTTTTTTTTTTTTTTAAGACAGTATCTTGCTGTGTCATCCAGGCTGGAGTGCAGTGGCACAATCACAGTTCACTGCAGCCTCGATGTCTTAGGCTCTAACACCTGAGTAGCTGGGACTACGGGTGTGTGTCACCACACCTGGCTAATTTGTTCTTGTTGTAGAGACAGAGTCTCATTATGTTGCCCAGGCTGGTCTTGAACTCCTGAGCTCAAGTAATCCTCTTGTCTCAGCCTCCCATGGTGCTGGGATTACAGGCATGAGCCACTCTGCCTGGCCCATGCATTTTTGACTTTGATTATTTGAAAACATCAAACTCACTTTTTCACTGATTCACCCAACATTTATTGAGGATCTACTAGATGTCAGTTTCTCCTCCTCTAACCTACAAATAGATGATATAAAAATAAGCACTGAGTGGATGTGTTTTAGATCTTTACAACTGATTGTATATTTTCTATCATTATTATTATTACTTTGATATATTTTATTTTTCTTTTAATTTAATTTTGCTAAAGTATGGATAGGGTTTTACTGTATTGGCCAGACTGGTCTCAAACTCCTGAGCTCAAGTGATCCTCCTGCTTCAGCCTCTCAAAGTGCTAGGATCGCAGGCATGAGCCATTGTGCCCAGCCTATTTTCTATTATTGATATGTGGTGATTTAAGTTTTTGAAAGGAGTTTTGTGTGTCTTATACTGCAAGAGGTTATAAAAAACATAGTAAAGCAAAGGAAATGGTCCTTGAGCTTCTAGTTTTGTTAGTTAGTTTGTTTTTCTGGGGCCAGGATCTCTGTCCCCCTAGGCTGGATTGCAGTGGAGCTCAGGTGATCCTCCTACCACAGCCTCAACCTCCCAAATTACTGGGACCACAGTCATGCACCACCACATCTGGCTGATTTTTAAATTATTTGTAGAAATGAGGTCTTACAATGTTGCTCAGGGTGGTTTCCAACTCTTGGGCTCAAGCAATCCTCTTCCCTTGGCCTTCCAAAATGCTGGTATTACAGGCAGGAGCCACTGTGCCTGTTTGTCTTTTTACTATTGAGTTGAGTTCCCTTGTCAGATGAATAGTTTGCAAATATTTTCTCCTATTCGAGAGATTTTCTCTTCACTCTGTTGATTGTTTCCTCTGCTATGTAGAAGCCTTTTATTTTTATTTTTATTTTTTGAGATGGAGACTTACTCTGTTGCCCAGGCTGGAATGCAATGGAATGATTTCGGCTCACTGCAACCTCCACCTCCTGGGTTCAAGCAATTCTCCTGCCTTAGCCTCCCAAGTATCTGGGATTACAGGCATGTGCCACCATGCCTGGCTCATTTTTGGTATTTTTAGTAGAGATGGAGTTTCACCATGTCGGCCAGGCTGGTCTTGAACTCCTAACCTCAAGTGATCCACTTGCCTTGGCCTCCCAAAGCACTGAGACTACAGGCGTGACCCACCGTGCTTGGCCAGAAGCTTTTTAGTTTTAGTTCCATTGCTTATTTTTGTTTTTGTCGACTGTGCTTTAAGGTCTTAGCCATAAAATCTTTTCCTAGACCAATGTCCTGAAGTGTTTTTCCTATATTTTTTTCTAGTGGCTTTATAGTTTTGAGTCTTTAAGTCTTTAATTCATCGTGGTTGATTTTTTGCATATGGTGAGAGATAGGGGTCCAGTTTCATTCTTCTGCATTTGGTTATCCAATTTTTCCAGCACCATTTATTGAAGAGGGTATCCTTTTCCCAATGTGTGCTCTTGGTGCCTTTGTCAAAAATCAGTTGACTGTAAATACATGGACTTATTTCTGGATTCTCCATTCCATTCTGTTGGTCTTTGTATCTGCTTTTATACCAATACGATGCTGTTTGGGTTGTGTTCACCTTATAATATGTTTTGAAATCAGGTAGTGTGTTAACGTCCAATTTTGTTCTTTTTGCTCAGAATTGTTTTAACTATTTGTGTTCTTCTTTGGTTCCATATAAATGTTAGGATTTTTTTCTATTTCTGTGAAAATAACATTGGTATTCTGATAAGAATTACACTGAATCTGTACCTTGCATTAAGCAGTATGGTCATTTTAATTATATTAATTCTTCTGATCCATGAATATGAGATGTCTTTGCATTTGTCTGTGTCCTTTTCAAATTTTAAATGCCACAAAAATAAAAGTTTTTTTTATTTCCTTTCACTTCCATTTGGTAGGAATCTAACAGTTACCTGATTCAGCCAAATATAAATCTGATTATCAGGGTTGGTAGGTAAATGTTTTCAGTAAGTTAATGATAAAGAATTATTCAACAGTTTGTTAAATTCTAACAATTGTTTTGAAATAAACATAGAAAAATCTTGGGAAATTCTGACCTCTTTTGGTTCCACATTACAATCATGGATTACTTCTTCCAAATGTATTTTTCTCATAGGAAGAGAAAACTGGCCAGAGGCCATCTGAAGCCAAAGAGATAAAACTTTATGCCCAGATTCCCCCCATAGAGAAAATGGATGCATCCTTGTCCACGCTTGCTAATTGCGAGTAAGTTCTCTTTTCATCCTTCCAGTATTGCTGTCAGGTTTCCCTTTCTTTTCTTAAACACACAAAATAGGAAAATATGTTTGTTTTCTGTGGTCTTCATTTTTTTTTGTTTGCTTACTGTAGTTCTCCCTTTGGCAAGGCCAAACGTGAAAAATTACTGGTTTATAGGATTATTAATAGAAAAATATTGAACGGTACCATATTTTTAGTACAGTTGTTATAATGTGTTTCAAAATATAAATCAAGTCTTTTGGGAGAAGCTAAATAACACAATAAACCATATACAGAGAGCATATATTTTCTCCCATTCAACAGGTTTTGTCTTCTTCACTCTATTGATTGTTTCCTCTGCTTTGCAGAAGCACATATATATATATATAATTTTTTTAATAGAGATGGAGTTTCACCATCTTGGCCAGGCTGGTCTTGAACTTCTGACCTTGTCATCCACCCCCCTCAGCCTCCCAAAGTGCTGGGATTACAGGTGTGAGTCACCACACCCAACCTCACATTTTTTTAAAATACAGAATATTTCATGAATGTATATGTTAGCCTTGTGCAGGGGCCATGCTAATCTGTCGTTCCAGTTTTAGTACACGTGCTGCTGAAGCGAGCACCGCAATAAACTATGACTCTGTTATGAAATCTACCACTTTCTCTTGTAAAATTATCCACCAAAGTCAGAACTATATTTACTTATGCCTAAGTGATACCCCTTAAAAAAAAAACCTTTAAAATTATAAAAAACTTAAACATCTGGAAAATATAAACAGCACAAAGAAAAGGAATTAACATTAACCCAAATCACAACACTTTGTGAGAACCAGTGCTAGCGTTTTTGTAGAGCCTTCTAACTTTTTTTAAAAAATTCTAATTGGGATCAAATTATCCTTTTTTTTTTTTTTTTTTTTTTTGAGACATTCTTTGTCACCCAGGCTGGAGTGCAGTGAGTGATCTCGGCTCACCGGAACCTCTGGCCCCCAGGTTCAAGCAATTCTCCTGCCTTAGCCTCCCAAGTAGCTGGGACTGCAGGCGCTCACCACCATACCCAGCTAATTTTTTGTATTTTTAGTAGAGACAGGGTTTCACCATGTTGGCCAGGCTGGTCTCAAACTCCTGACTTCAAGTGATCCACCCACCTTGGCCTCTCAAAGTGCTGGGACTACAGGCATGAGCCACTGCGCCCGGCCTACTTATTTTGTAATATATCCTGTGACTTTAATTTTCAGATCTATAGTAATTTCTTTAATTTATTTTCTCAAGACGTGATTTAGTAGGATTCTTTGGTTGATTTGAGGCAATTATATCATGTTGCCTTGTAACCGTGTTTTTAGGCTACAAGTTTCTCTTGTCAGGGCTATAGTATACCATAGAATCACTGGGTTTTTGTTTGATTGTTTTCTGATTTCTTCACCCTGTGTTTGTCTTAAGTGTGATCCTTGATTACCTGTACTTTATGCAGATCAGCCCCATCCCAAATTTATAGAAACAGAATATTTACTGATGAAATCTAGGAATCTGAATTTACAGTAAGTAACTTGGGTAATTCTAGGACACATATTTGTGAACCCACTATTAGACTAATATCCATCTGTGGGATCAAAGGGGAGAGCAAACATTTAGCTTTTGTATGCAGCTTGTTCTTTGTGATGAGAACACAGTGTGTTATAAACCAATCTCAAAGGCAAACGAACTTGAGAAGGTTTTGTACTTCATACCAAAGTGCCTTGTAAATCACCTGGAGTCAACCTGTTCATATTTTGCTGATAATCTCTTTGCACTGGCTCCCTCAACAAGAATTAAAGAATTATTTCCCAACCATATTCCTAGATTTAAAGGCACTCCATTTTTCACTAGGAGTTCTCAGGATTGGGGGATGACTAGAAAATATACATGATATAGTAATTACTTTATGTATAGTCTTTACATGATATAGTAATTCCTTTTTTTTTTTAAGACGGAGTTTTGCTCTTATTGTCCAGGCTAGAGTGCAATGGCGCAATCTCGGCTCACAGCAACCTCTGCCTCCAAGGTTCAAGCAATTCTTCTGCCTCAGCTTTCTGAGTAGCTGGGATTTCAGGCATGTGCCACCACGCCCAGCTAATTTTATGTTTTTGGTAGAGATGAGGTTTCACCATGTTGGCCAGGCTGGTCTTGAACTCCTGACCTCAGGTGATCTACCCGCCTCTGCCTCCCAAAGTGCTGGGATGAGCCACTGTGCCCAACCTCTTTTGCTGTTTTAAATAGAAAAAATAATAATAATAATAATAATAATAATAAAAGAATGATTCTTTCAAGTAAAATCATGAATAAGATGCATGATCTGGAATCAAACTTACCTGGGTTTTAATTTTGGTCCTGCCACTTTATGACTATGTAGTATTGAGAGAATATCTTTGTGCCTCAGTTTCATTGGTAAAATGTGGATAATGATAATACCCAAAAGATTATTGTGATGATTAAAATAGTTAATACAAGTAAAGTGCTTAGAAGAATACTGGATACACATTAAGTGTTAAACAAAATTAGCTTTTATTTCTGGGCATAGTGGCTTATACCTGTAATCCCAGTGACTTGGAAGTCTTAGGCAGGTGGAAGTCTTAGGCAAGTTCTTTTGAGCCCAGAACTTTGAGGCTGCAGTGAGCTATGATTGTACCACTGCACTCCAGCCTGGGCAACAGAGTGAGACCCTGTCCTCTTAAAAAAAAAAAAAAACCACACACTTTTATTATGTATATATGTAGATTTTGTTTGTTTATGTTTTGGTAGGTTTTTGTTCTTTTTTGAGACAGGATCTTGCTCTTTTGCCTAGGGTGGACTACAGGTGCACACCACTGCTCCTAGCTTTATTTTATTCTTTGCACGAAACTTACTAAGATATTTAAAGTTTTATCAAGAAAAGAAGACTGAGGATGTGTAATTCTGTCCCCTTTAAAAATTTTGTTTTTATATAATTAAAATAACTTATAGAAAAAGTCTGGGAAGATACATATGAAGACTATTAAAAGTCAGTATCAGCTGGGTGCAGTGGCTCACGCATTTGATCCCAGAACTTTGGGAGGCTGAAGTGGGCGGATCACAAGGTCAGGAGTTTGAGACCAGCTTGGCCAACATGGTGAATCCCCGTTTCTGCTAAAAATACGAGAAAATTAGCTGGGCATGGTGGTGCACACATGTGGTCCCAGATACTTGGAGGCTGAGGTAGGAGGATCACTTGAACCTAGATAGGAGGCACATGTTTCAGTGAGCTGAGATTGTGCCACTGTATTCCAGCCTGGGTGACAGAGTAAGACCCTGTTTCAAAAAAAAAAAAAGGTTACATATTAATTTTTTTCAATATAAATTTTGGAATGATTGAATACATGAAAAAAAATCTCTTTCCACAAATACATATACATAGTTTTGTGGAGTTTTTTTTTTAACACAAAGGATCATATAAAATATATTGTTCTATGGCCAGGCGCGGTGGCTCACGCCTGTAATCCCAGCACTTTGGGACGCCGAGGCGGGTGGATCACGAGGTCAAGAGATCGAGACCATCCTGGTCAACATGGTGAAACCCCGTCTCTGCTAAAAAATACAAAACATTAGCTGGGCATGGTGGCACGTGCCTGTAATCCCAGCTACTCAGGAGGCTGAGGCAGGAGAATTGCCTGAACCCAGGAGGCGAAGGTTGTGGTGAGCCAAGATCGCGCCATTGCACTCCAGCCCGGGCAACAAGAGCGAAACTCCGTCTCAAAAAAATATATATATATATATTGTTCTAGGCTGGGCACAGTGGCTCACGCCTATAATCTCAGCACTTTGAGAGGCCGAGGCAGGCGAATCACCTGAGATCAGGAGTTCGAGACCAGCCTGGCCAACATGGCAAAACCCCGTCTCTACTAAAAATACAAAAATTAGCACAGCATGGTGGCGCACACCTGTAATCTCTGCTGCTTGGGTGGTTAAGTCATGAGAATTGCTTGAACCTGGGAGGTGTAGGTCACAGTGAGCTGAGATCATGCCATTGCACTCCAGCCTGGGCTATAGAGTGAGACTTTATCTCAAAAAAAAGAATTGTTCTGCTAGATGGTTTTTAAACTATGTATCATAGAAATCTTCCCAAGTCAATATCTATAGCCCAATCTCCTTTGTTTTAGTGGCAGCTTAGTATTTCACTATCTGTTCCTCAGTTAACAGGTGTTACAGGTTTTTTTTTTTTGAGACAGAGTATCCCTGTGTCACCTAGGCTGGACTGCAGTAGTGCTATCTCTGCTCACTGCAACCTCTGCCTCCCAGGTTCAATCAATTCTCCTGCCTCAGCCTCCCGAGTAGCTGGAATTACAGGCGCATGCCGCCATGCCCAGCTGATTTTTTTTATTTTAGTAGAGACAGGCTTTCACTATGTTGCCCAGGCTGGGCTCAAACTCCTGAGCTTAGGCAATCCGCTGCCTCAGCCTCCCAAAATGCTAGGATTACAGGCGTGAGCCACCTCGCCCAGAGATTTTTTTCAATTTTTCTGCTATTCCAGTAACACATATATCTTTTGGCATTTAATTAATATTTTGGTAAGATGTATTTCTAGAAGTGAAAAAGTGGGTCAAGAAATGTTATGCCTTAAAAAATTTGATAATACCAGGGTAAGGCGTGGTGGCTCACACCTCTAATCTCAGCACTTTGAGAGGCCCAGGCAAGTGGATCACTTAAGGTCAGGAGTTCAAGAACAGCCTGGCCAACATGATGAAACCATGTCTCCACTAAAAATACAAAAATTAGCCGTGCATGATAGTAGATGCCCATAATCCCATCTACTTGGGTGGCTGAGGCAGGAGAATTGCTTAAGCAGGTAGGTGGAAGTTGCAGTGAGCTGAAATGGTGCCACTGCACTCCAGCCTGGGTGACAGAGGGAGACTCCATCTCAAGAAGAAAAAAGATCGTTAATGCCAAATTGCCCTCAAGAGAATTTTTTTCAAATTTTCAATAAGTTTTTATTAACTTACGTAATTAGAGAAAAACAACAATTTCAAAATGAAGTGATAACTGCTATGTTTTTTTTTTTTAAACAGAGTCTCATTCTCTCCCCCAGGCTAGAGTGCAGTGATCTCGGCTTACTGCAAACTCCTCCACCCAGGTTCAAGTAATTCTCCTGCCTCAGCCTCCCAAGTAGCTGGGATTACAGGCGACCATGCCTAGCTAATTTTTTTTTTTTTTTTTTTTTTAAGTAGAGATGGGATTTCACCATGTTGGCCAGCCAGGCTGGTCTCAAACTCCCAACCTCAAGTGATCTGCCCACCTTGGCCTCCCAAAGTGCTGGGATTACAGGCGTGAACCACAGTGTCTGGCCAATAAATGCTATGATTGAGTGGGGAAAAATATGCCTTAAATACTATCTTTCATGGGCACTATTGTTAAGGAATAATTTCTGATTTACCACTTAAGTTTTTCACATTAATTTAAATTTTTTCTTTGTTCTTTTAAAGGAAGCTTTCACTGTCTACAAACTGCATTGAAAAAATTGCCAACCTGAATGGCTTAAGTAAGTGATTCACAGTAACAGATGATTCATGGATTTCCTAGTTATTATAATAAACATTCCAGAGACAATATGTAATTCCAGAAGCTGGCACCTGTTTTAGCCATACTTGTTGTCAGACAATAAAATACATAAACTATGTCTTTTTTTTTTTTTTTTTTTTTTTGAGACCAAGTTACGCACTTATTACCCAGGCTGGAGGGCAATGGCGTGATCTCGGCTCACTGCAACCTCCACCTCCTGGGTTCAAGCAGTTCTTCTTCCTCAGCCTCCCGAGTAGCTGGGACTACAGACATGAGCCACCATGCCCAGCTAATTTTTGTATATTTAGTAGAGACGGTTTCACCTTGTTGACCAGGGTGGTCTCTATCTCTTGACCTCATGATCCACCCACCTAGGCCTCCCAAAGTGCTGGGATTATAGGCGTGAGCCACCGCGCCTGGCCAACTATGTCTTAAGTTTGATTATCCAAAGAAAATTAGAGATAGCATGAGCTATGAACATTTTAAAGACATTTGAAAGCTTTTATAGAGTTAGAGTTGAGACATCTTAAATAGAGTATCAGATTTTTGATTATATATTTCTTTGTTCAGATTTGTTTTTTCTGTATTTCAAACTTGTTATATTTAAATGTTAGTTCCTTGTCATCCCCATTTTTTTTCCTGTACTCCTTACTCTTGTTAATGACATTGCACCCTCCCAGTTGCCAAGGCCTCTGACTCTTTATTAGTTTCCTATGGCTGCTGTAACTTGATAGCTTAAAACGATAGATATTTATTCTCTTATGGTTCTGGAGACCAGAAGTCTAAAATCAGTTTCATCTGGCGAAAATCAAGCCATACTCCCTCTGGAGGCTTGAGGAGAATCTTTGTCTATCCTTTTTCAGCTTCTGGTGGCTGCTGCATTCCTTGGCTTGTGACTCATCACTCCAATCTCTGCCTATAGTCACATTGGCTTCTCCTTCTGTGTCAAATCTCTGTCTGCCTCCCTCTTACGAGGATACATGTGATTGCATTAGGGCACACCCTGATCTTGAGGATAATTTCCCCATCTCTCAAGATCCATAATCACATCTGCAAAGTACTTTTTTATGCCATATAAAGTAACATTTACAGGTTCTAGGGATTAGAATGTAGGTATCTTTTGAGGAGCCATTGTTAAGCCTACTACTATGGTCTCTCTTCAAGCCCTACATGCAAGTTTATCACTAAATCCTGTTAACTCTACTCTTTGAAGGAGCTCTCAAAGAAAGCGTTGCTTTTCCATTTCCAGGAGTTACAACTTTAATTTAGACCCTCATCATCTTCCCCGTAGGTCATTGTTCTTCAAACATTTGACCACTTTCCATAGTAAGAAATACATCTGAATTTGTTATACATTGATATGAATATACATATCAAATATATACATACAGATACAAACTTAAATAAAGTTTGTAAGACAGTATTTACCCTTATATAGCAAGGTTCCAGTATTTTTTTTTTTCATTATGTTGCCCAGGCTGGTATTCAGTGGTACAATCTCAGCTCACTGCAACTTCCACCTCCTGGGTTCAAGTAATTCTGAAGCCTCAGCCTCCCAAGTAGCTGGGATTACAGGTGTCCACTGCCACACCTGCCTAATATTTGTGTTTTTAGTGGAGACAGTTTCACCATGTTGACCAGGCTGGTATTGAACTTCTGACCTCAAGTGATCCGCCCACCTCAGCCTCCCAAAGTACTGGGATTACAGGTGTGAGCCACCAAGCCTGGCCAGTTACAGTATGTATTTTTACATATTTATTTCTGCTTTTTTTTTTTTTTAAATGCTGATCACAACACACTAAATTGATTTCACAACCTGTTAATTTAGTCTCATGACCCATAGTTTGAAAAACACTGTCTTACAACTTTTGCAATAGTAAAACAGGTCAGGGTCACTGGTCTCATTATCTAAGGTGTTACCCAAGGTTCATTGTCTCATGACCGAGAAAATTAAGGAATGTAGATGAAAAGGGTGAGGTTGCAGTGAAAGTTTAATGAGTGAAAAAAGACAGCTCTCTGTAGCAGAGAGGGAAGCCTGAGTTGCTTTATTTTTTGCAGTTGAATTCAAAAGCTTTTATAAGAAACTCCTCTCACTGCTGTGACTGTTTGAGTAACTCCTCTTATCCGAAAAGCTGTCTGCACAACTCCCCTTTATCTACGTAGTTGTTGGTATGTCTCTAGGCAAGCATAAAGCACTGCTTCTCTTGTTTGTAAAATTGTGGGTTTATTTTAGGTAAGTCCCCCTCCTCCCCATACAAGTTCCCAGGGAGCCTACTATGTACATGTCTGAAAAGGGAAAGAAACTTTTTCCTGGGAGCCTGCCAATTACACAAAGAACAATCTGTGCTGGACCCTACATACTTATCCATGCAGGTGCAGCCTGAGTTTTCCCCAGGGTGCTCTATTTTTGCCTGTAGCTGTGATTTTTCAGATGGGCTGCTTTTCCAAGGACCAGCCCTAACTGTTTACCTAACAGATCCCTCAATAGCCTCCTAACTGATCTCCTTTTCTCCTGTCTTTCTGCCCTTCAGGTGGCCTTCATCACTGATAACAGAGTTTTCTTTCTAAAAATATTATTTGACTATCATTATATCAGAGGCCTTTTAATGGTACCTCTTTGCCTAGAAAAGACCAAATGCCTTAATGTTGCATTCAAAGTCATTTAAAAACTTGTACTATCCAGTTCACACCCAAATATTTTAAAAATGACTTTGTAACATTTATTAATGCAGTACTTTTCACTGAGAACAGCTTCTTTCTGTAACAGGAAAATCCTGTCAGAAATTAAGATTTAAGAATGCAGCCAGGCACCGTGGCTCACACCTATAATCCCAGCACGGGAGGCTGAGTCAGGTGGATCACTTAAACTCAGGAGTTCAGGACCAGCCTGGGCAACGTAGTGAGACCCCTGTCTCTACTAAAAATTTAAAAAATTTTCTGGGCATGGTGATGTGTGCCTGTAGTCCCAGCTGCTTGGGAAGAGGATTGCTTGAGCCCAGGAGAGTGAGTCTGCAGTGAGCTAAAATGGTGCCACTGCACCGCAGCCTGTGCAACAGAGTAAGACCTTATCTCAAGAAAAAAAGATTATGAATGCCATGTTTGAATGTCACTCCCTCCTTAAAGACTTCCCTCAACTTCATCATCAAAATTAATTACTCTTTTGGGAATATTCATAACAGTCTACCTTGGATTATAATAATAATTACTTATATAATTATTGTGAAAGTTGAGTTAGTGTATATAGAGTACACAGAATTGTGCCTGGTGCATATAAAATGCTCAATAAATATTAATCATTATTATAGTTAGTTGGGAAGACGTTCTGCTCTTAAGATAGTGAATTGAGAAAAAGCATCATCTTATTAATCTTTTAATCTTCTATTCCAGTACCCCTCAACCCTTTTATCTTACTCCAGAAATAGCCTATAGATAATAGAAATAGAAATAACCTTTAAAAAATACAGATAGGTATTTTATTTTTTAACCAAATCACAGTCTAATTATTTAAAAGATTAAAAGCAAATGATTTTTTTTTTAAATATCAAATTTATTTTATTTCACTTCTAATTCGTCATGGAGCAAGGTGGACAATACATAAATATATGTTCTTATTTTCTAGTGTGAGTTCTCATAAGAGATTTGAAATACGTATGTTCTCAAACTTAAAATATTCTCTGCTGCTGTTTTATCCTGTAATATTTTTATTAGCCAGCAATTTAAGACCACGTGTTCCAGATAGTTAATCATTTTTTAATTTAATAGTGACATGTTATGAAATTATACCTGTAGTATTTACCTTAGATGATAGGTCAATGTTATTTTCGACTTGATTACCCATTTTTGTTAACACAACCGTTCTTACTCATTGTATAAGGATATCTATTATATAAAACTTATTAAAGCTTTATTATACTAGATGTATAATTGTGTAATATGATTCTAGTAAACAAAAAAATGTTTTCTTTTCACTACAGAAAACTTGAGGATATTATCATTAGGAAGAAACAACATAAAGAACTTAAATGGACTGGTAGGTTGTTATTTATCATTATTTTATTTATTTAATTTGCACACATACATGAATAATTTCTTGGATAAATTCCTTGAAATGGAATTGCTAGGTCAAAAGATATGAGTTTCTTTTAAGACTTTTGTGACATAGTCTCAAGTTGCCCTTCAAAAAGTTTATAACAACCTATGATGTGTGAGGTTTCCCGATTTCCCATACCAGCCTTGGGCATTTAAAAATTTTTTGACATGTCTTATTTTTATATTTATTGGCTATTTAAATTTCCTTCCATAGAAGGTGAGGTGGAACAATTACATAAAACTAGTCAATTTCAGGAAAGATGAAGTGAATTTTTCTGCATAATTTTTAATATGTTTATTGTTAAATAATTCATAAACTTACTGAAATTTTGTATGGCCCTGACTCCTTTTCCCTTCCCAATAAATTTTAATACAGAAATTCAGAATTTATTATATTTCAGGCTGAATTTAACTTTGAGTTACCTATAAAGGAATAGTTTGCAGATAAATGTACTCCAGAATGTTTAGTATTAATATGTACTTGATGTTCCCCCCAGGTATTTATGGAATCCCTTATAGAATCCCAAATTCTCAAGTAATGCTATAGTATGTAATTTCTTCCATAAAATGAAATAAATACGCAGAGACCACAAACAAATTATAAATATAGGATTGAAGGCATGTATTAAGATGCTATCTGGCTAAACCATCACTTATTTTAGATATCTTCACTTTCTATACACTCCTATCAATGATACTCAGTAGTTAGTTTTCTTTCCAGGATGTAATGTGGGGTGTGTGTCCAAAAGCTTTATTACTTATGTTCAGACTAAATAAAAATAAAGCTATGGCTAGGCACAGTGGTTTATGCCAGTAATCCCACCACTTAGAAGGCCAAAGTGGGAGGATCACATGAGGCCAGGAGTTGACCTGGGCAATGTAGAAAGACCTTGTCTCTACTGAAAATTTAAAAAGAAATTAGCCAGGCATGATAGTCCCAGCTACTTGGGGGGCTGAGGCAGAAGGATTGCTTGAGCCCAGGAGTTTGAGTTTACAGTGAACTATGATTGTGCCATAGCACTGCATAAAAGAAAATGAAAGCTGCATAGGGATGCAGATACTGGGCTTCAAATAGGTTCACATACTAGGTGACTTACTCACCTAGATACACCTGCCTCATAGCATGTTTTAAATAGTGGTCTTAGTAAGTTGCAGATGATTAGTGTGTGAAACATGGAGTGTTAAATTGAAGAAAAAGGGTTTATTTAAAACTACTCAAGACATTATTAAGGTACATTATAAGCCCATTTGTATATATGATCTGGCCTTTGCCTTTCTTTCTGATCTCATTTCATGTTTCTCTTCTCCTAGTTGATAATCTCTAGTGACGGGCCTTCTTTCTGTTCCTTTACCATGCACAGTTCATTCCCACCTGAGGGTCTTTGTACTTGCTGTTCCTTTTGTGTTAAAACTCTATTACCATGGATTTCCACTATGTGGGCTCCTTCTTAACCTTCACATCTCAGCTCAGATGTCACATCCTTAAAGGTGACCCAATCACCCTATATCTAAAGTGGCTCTCTAAGCAGTAATGCTTTTTGTTTTTGTTTTTGTTTTAGACAAGGTCTCACTCTGTCACCCAGGCTAGAATGCATGGCACAATCACAGCTCATTGCAACCTTGACCTCCTGGGCTCAGGCCATCCTCCCACCTCAGCCTCCTGAGTAGCTGGGGCCACAGGTGTGGACCATCACGGCCAGCTTATATTTTAATATTTTGTGGAGATGGGGTCCCACTATGTTGCCCAGGCTGATCTGAAACTTCTGGGCTTAAGCAATGCTCCTGCCTCAGCCTCCCAAAGTGCTGGAATTACAGGCATGAGCCACCATGCCCGGTGGAGTAACTCTTTATTTTTTTGAACCAGGGTCTCACTGTGTCGCCCAGGCTGGAATGTCATAGTGCTATCTTGGCTCACTGCAACCTCTGCCTCATGGCTCAAGCAGCCCTCCCACTTCAGCCTCTCCAAAAGCTGTGACTAAAGACACATGCTATCACACTTGGCTAATTGTTTTGTATTTTTGGTAGGGGTCTCACCATTGTTGCCCAGGCTGGTCTTAAACTCTTGAGCTCAAGCAGTCCACCTGCCTGACCTTCCAAAGTGCTAGGATTACAAGCCTGAGCCACCACACCTGGCTGTGTAAAACTCTTACCAGTTGTAATTTTATTTTTTCATGTTACTCACTATTACCTGAAATTCTTGTTTGTTCTCTCTCTCTCTCTCTCTCTCTCTCTCTCTCTCTCTCTCTCTCACACACACACACACACACACACACACACACATCCTAATGACCATGTCAGTTTTGATTTTTGTTTGCTTAGAGACAGGGTCTCACTCTGTCACCCAGGCTGGAGTGCAGTGGCATGATTATAGCTTACTGTGATCTTGAACTCCTGGACTCCAGCAATCCTTGCTCCTCAGCTTCCTAAGAAGCTGGAACTATAGGTGAATAGATGAGGTTACAGGTGTGCACCACCTTGCCCAGCTGATTTTTAAAAAAATTTTTTGTAGAGATAAATTCTCACTATGTTGCCCAGGCTGGTATTGAACTCCTGGCCTCAAGTGATACTCCTGCCTCATCCTCCCAAAGTGCTGGGAGTATAGGCATGAGCCATTGTGAGGGTCTGGCCAATTCAGTTTTGTTAATTAGCATCTACAATACTGCTTGATTCATATAGTAGACACTCTGTGTTTATTGAGTGACTCAGTATGTTTTATTACAATTACACAACTATTACTTAAGTTAAAATTTTAATTCTAGGCCGGTTGTGGTGGCACATACCTGTAATCTCAGCTACTAGGGAGGTTGATGCACGAGAATCACTTGAACCTGGGAGGTCGAGATTGCAGTAAGTCGTGATAATGCCCACTGTACTCCAGCCTGGGTGACAGAGCAAGACTCTGTCTAAAAAACAAACAAACAAACAAACAAAAACACACACACACAAATTTTTTTTTAATTCTAAAAGTTACATGTTCATTGCAAAAACAAATCAAGCAATTTATAAACATATGAAATATGCTATGAAAATCTTTTGTTTTTCTACCTTCTTCTCCCTTCCAGCTCCATGAAGTAACAAAAATTTTATTGGTTTCTAGACTTTAAAATCTTTTCTGTGCATACACAAATAAATAACTGTGTGTGTATGTGTGTGTGTGTGTGTGTCTGTGTGTCTGTGTGTGTGTGTATATGTGGGCCATATTGTTTGCTAGTGTACAAGGCATTTTTTCCTATAATTTAGCTTTTTCATTCAATAATAATAATATCCTTCAATGTCAATACATGCAGATTTAATACTTTAAAAAATAGCTGTATAGTTTTCCACAGTATCAGTGTACAATAATGTATTTAACTATTCCTATACTTCTGGCATTTAGATTATTTCCAGGTTTTTTTTTTTTCTGAGTGAGGAGTGTGAGTGCTCTTTCTCTCTTGCTCTCTCAATTTCTTCCTTTTTCTTTTCTTGCTATTACAAATCATGCTGCAATGAACATCTTTGACTCAGAAGTTAGTTTTGTATTTACATATGATGGGATAGATTTTTATAAGTCAAAAAGCTGAGGATATTTTTGTGCATTTAAATTTTTGATAGGTACCTCAAATTGTTCCCACAATGCTAATGCTAATTTCTATTTCCATCACTGGTGCATGGATGAGGATTTTCCCCTCCACCCTCAACATCATTGAGTAGTATTCATATTTTTAACATTTGCCAATACGATAGGCAAAATGGAGTCTGGTGCTATTGTTGACTTTTTTTCTTTTTTTTTTTTTTTGAGACAGGGTCTCTCTATGTTGCCCAGGCAGGACTCAAACTCCTGGGCTCAAGTGACCCTCCTGCCTCGAATCTCCTCAGTAGCTGGGACTATGGGCCACTATTTGTGGCAGGTACTGTGTTATTTTAATTTCCATTGTCTAGTCAGTTGTGACTTTGAACGTCTTTTCTTTATATTTTTATGTAATATTTAATATAATTTTATATTAAATTTTATAATATAATATAATTAATACATATATTTATATATATACTTTTTGTGAGGCAGCAATCTGACTTTGTCACCCAGACTGGAGTGTAGTAGCACGATCTCAGCTCACTGCAACCTCCTTGACCTCCTGGGCTTAAGTGATCCTCCTGCCTCAGCCTTCCAAGTACGTGGGACTAGAGGCATGTACCACCACACCTGGCTATTTTTTTTTTTTTTGGTAGAGACATGATTTCCCTATGTTGCCCAGGCTGATCTTGAACTCCTGAGCTCGAGCAATCTGCTCATGTTGGCCTCCCAAAGTGCTTAGGACTAAAGGCATGAACCATTGTGCCTGGCTGAACGTCTTTTTATGTACTGATCATTTAGACTTCATCTTTTGGAAATTGACCAAACACATTTTTAAGCTACTTTTCTACTAAATTTATCTTTTTCTTACTGAATGATAGGTACTCTTCAATATTCCTAATATCCATTATTAAAAATGTTATTATATTATTGTTGTAGTTATCTTTATTGACTACACAGCAGGCTCTTTACATGCATTATCTCATTTCCAGCTCACAAGTAGATAACGTTATCCTCATTTTAAGGTAAAGAAACGAGGCTCAGTTATGTAAAGTATTCAAGTATAGTGAGCAGGTATTCTTTTTTTTTTTTTTTTTTTTTTGAGACGGAGTTTCGCTCTTGTTACCCAGGCTGGAGTGCTATGGCGCGATCTCGGCTCACCGCAACCTCCGCCTCCTGGGTTCAGGCAATTCTCCTGCCTCAGCCTCCTGAGTAGCTGGGATTACAGGCACGTGCCACCATGCCCAGCTAATTTTTTGTATTTTTAGTAGAGACGGGGTTTCACCATGTTGACCAGGATGGTCTCGATCTCTCGACCTCGTGATCCACCCGCCTCGGCCTCCCAAAGTGCTGGGATTACAGGCTTGAGCCACTGCGCCCGGCCAAAATTT